TAACCCTCTTAGTATTGGTTTATTTTAAAATTGTAGTAGAGAAACTACTGAATCAACATTAACCAATGATTGTGTTTATCAAATTTTAACCATTGTTCCTATTCTTACCCAGAAATCATTCTTTAAGCTATTTAAAGTTCATTTGTATCCCATTGCAGAAGATACATACCTTGGAAATCCAAAATGGAAAAAAGCAGTTATTCCTCAACAATTTGTTATTGCTCGAAATAATGAATATTTTGGATTATCTGATTTTGAACTTCCAACATGTTTAGCAGCTCTGGATTTCTTCAGGTGTCAGTTGTGTAAATTTAATATAGTACCCAATAGACCTGCAAATCCCTGTTTAACCTCAATATTAAAAGGTGAAATTGAAAGTACCATTCAACATAAATGCCTGATGGAAAAAATTAGAGATCCAGAAGAACAATTTGAAAAAATTGATGATGATGAATATGCATTTGTTGATCCAAGCCCTGGACGCATAACGCAATATTGCTCCACTAATGGTTCTAATCATGAAAATATTTATGAATTACCTCATACTGGAATTCTCCAGTTTCATCCTGATTGTTGTTATACCATGGTGAATGGACCAGTAAACAAAATAGTCCCGTCTCTGGATTTAGAACCTGTTGAATTAAATGCTGTGCAAGAAATTACTGACAAGGATGATAAAAGAAATTTGGTGGAGGATATAAGTGTTTTACGAGAACACTTCAGGGATTACGGATATTTATACTTAATCGCACTAATAGTTGTGTGTTTTATTTTTCTAACATTCTTAATATTTTGGTGTTATGCGCGCATACGTGTTTTGTATTTACGGCAAAAATGAAAACAAGAAAAACCGACTCCAAATGCGTATGTGGAGGAAATTTCTTTAATACCTCAGAATCAACAGAATACTTTTCAAGCACTGCGTTCAGCATTAAAATAACAAATTCTGACCAAAAAACAAAATTTACAAATAATTCAAAATGTACAAACAAAGTAAAACAAATTAGGTAAGAACTTTTTTCCGACATAACGCTCAAAGATATTTGCAATGAACCATGTCACACATCACCTGCACTTCAATGCCAACATAATGATCCGCTGTGTCAATATGAATGACTTCCTTATTAAAACGCGCACAGTCATTTTCGTATTCAGTCCTGTGTTCCAAAATAATCTTTTGCGAATACAGATATTTTCTGAAAGTATATCCACTTTCCTCCAAAAGATCAAATGCAGAGAGGTTCCCCGTTAAACGCTGAACCTCAGTATAAAAACTCCAAGCTTCTTCCTCCTGCTCAATCTGACGACAAAACAGGCCATGAATCTTCTTGTAGGTCAAATAGTTATCCTCCAGCAAAGCCAAATAAATGACTTTAGTATTCCGGAAAAGCACTGTCAAAAATATAAAAACCGAAAAATATAATACATATTTTTTCACCTCCAGTTTATATATTTTCACCTCTATGCATTTCCAAGTATCTCTTGTATTCTGCATCAGTTAAAGGAATGTCCGGAATAACCACTAGACGATCTTTGCCAAGAAGAACATTCCTCCTGCTTTGTTTCTTAACCTGGAAAGCCTCATATTGAAAGGAAAGGCACAAAATCCATGCTTGCTGGTTCATAATATGAGCCGGATTCATTCCCATTTCTAAAGTACATTAAAATGTTTTAATAAGAAGTTGTCCAATAACAAATCAAATTTAAAAAAAAACAACCAACCAATTATCATTTCCTCCAGTTCAATGACGCTTGGGAAATAAATCTTGTGCCAATATTTAACAATGAAGGGATATTCCTTAACGTATCCATGAATCTGTTTCTCCACCAACTTTACTGTTTTTCTCGTAAGAACGGATTCCAAAGTCTCAGGCTTCATTTTATCTTGATGACGAATATCTTGCCCTTCAACCATCGTTTCCTTCACCCAATATTCTGGAATATTAGGTGCACAACAGAAACGCATGCGGAGTTCAGAATCTTTATTCTCATTCTTTTTTGGCACTTCTTCTCTGGAAACATTTAAAGTGCTAGAAGTTGACGGTGTAGGAGCTGTAGAGAGGATGGGTACCACAGGTGGTCCAAGATCCACCATCTCCATTCCATTCTCATCAACGTTTTGATTTGCCAATGATTGAAACTCCACGTCATGATAGTCTCCTCTCGCCGCCTTTGAAAAAGTTAAATAAAAGACAAAGTTTTCTTTTATAAGGCCAAATCTAGATTTCTTTGAAAGGATTCAAAAATCCAAGAACCTGAACTTACATTAGCCCGTCTTCTTCTCCAAATTAAAATTCCGACACCAATTCCCACGCCTGCAATTCCCGCAGCAACTACTCCTGCCATCGCGTACTCTAATCGGATCACAATCCCCTGGCCAAAATCGATTTTTCTTTTGCCACCTCTTCACGTTTTACTTTTTCGATGGTATTATTTGTGAAACTCGAATTATTCTCGGGACTCAGATTACTCTTAACGCTACTGATAAAATTCACGCTGCTGTTCCTGTTGCTGTTGACAATTACTGTGGGAACAACAGGAAGATCACTCTTTGATAACTCTTCATCGAATGAAACCACTGGAATCAACGTTGAAATAGATGGCACCGTCACTTCCTGAATTTTCCACGTCGTTGCCAAACTTGCCGTGCTTGAGGATGCTGCCGTTGTGAAATCCGAACCTGGACTGCTGGTTGGAAATACCTCCCCAGGAGTTGGAGTTGTAGTCACGACCTCTGAGACGGAAATTGCTGCAACAGCTGGGCTTGGCTTGTCAGCCAGCACCCCCTCCTAAACACTCAGGACCTTGGACAAATGTTTTGCTTCAGGAGTCACGCTGCTGAACAGCAGTTTACAACCCCCTCCTTCCACAAAAATCCTTAGAGCCGACCCTCGACAGATGACTTTGTCTTTTACGACAACCTTCTGTGAAACGAAATACGCTTTTCGCGAGTGCACTTTTTTGTCTTGTTTTGCTCTTTTTATGACTTGCCTTTATTTTGTTGAATGACGCGCAGTTAAAATCGAGAATCGGTCCTTCCAAAACGACGTTTCCGTCGTATTCCATGGCCTGACAAGCTCCAGTCCCACATAAATCTTTACAGATGTATGTTTCCCCAGAGATCCCACAGTTTTCCTCAGCTCTCAAAGTCGAAACAATTGACAAGAGTAAAACCCAAAATTGAAGAGTTCTCATTTTCTCAACGCAGTAATTCAGTCGTAACGACACTTTTAACATGCAGTTTCAAAAAAACTACTGCTCCAAAAAATGATCTTCTCTCTTCTCTCAGATTTTTCCTCTGCAATTTTCCCAACGACTTTTTTGCACTTCGAAATTGCTTTGCCAAAAGTAGACTGAGCACTGTGTAGCCATCATTCAAAACCCAGAGTTTATATACGGCTCAACTACGCATTTTTGCGTATACCTTTCAACCATGAGATTGAAAAGGGATTGAAAATCAATTGGCCTGAAAAATTCACACCCTCAAAAAATCTGTACAATGGGAGAAAAAGCAAGCTTTTCCTCTGTTGTGTGGGGTGATTGTTACAAAGTACTATTTTTCGTACACCAAGGAATTCACGCTTCCGCGAGACATTCCTTTATTTCCGATTGAGGTGAGATTTTCTCACCAGCACCTTTTGTGGTGCTCCCTTCTCATGCGTTACAATGTTTCTCACCAGCCGTAAATCTCTGCTGACCTTTTACACCTGCAACAGTGTCTCGGGATACTTAATATTCAAGACGCATTCTCCACTCCCTCATGTATGCAGGCAATGACCTGCATACATTTAAACTCTTGGCCAAGTTGGAACCAGCAGTTTTTGGAGTATATAAACCCTAGCTCCAGACTGCTAAAATCAGTTGATCACCGAATCCTCTAAGGAGTCAGAGTCCGTTTAGAATCCCTGCCGTTTGCATTGTTTGGATTGCTTGAGTTGTCTGACTTTGAATAAAACTTTCATTGTCAAGAAAGTCTGTCTGTTATTTTGAAAGTCTCGCATTGCCAGCACTTTGCCTCTCTGCAAATCAAGGAGTAAAGAACTCCAAGAGGAAAGACACTCTTTACGTTCCCAATAGTTTTATCTTTTAGTTATTCTAAATTAAAATTAAGCTAAATAGGATAACAGTATGTTTTATCTTCTATGGCAGCTAGTGCCCTGCATCGAAGTAAGCATAGGTAAAAGTATTACAAATTTACAATTACATACATTGATTACAATATTTTCAACCATGCCTATATACAAATAAGAGGCTGTGTTCCAAGCAGACAAGTAAAGATTTTATAGTTGATCATATTTCTTCCATGCTGCTTATTTGAACAGCACACATGATTCTTCATGTACAGTAAAGGACAATTAGGAAATTGCAATGATTAAGTTGCATTCACATGAACAAAAAACTTCTACTTTTAGTATCATTACACTTCGCTGTGGCAAAATTTACTCATTTATTGGCATATGTATACAGTTAAGCCTCAATAAGTCAATCCTTCTGGTGAGCCACATTTTTTTCCATTTCCACTCTGAGCTATATACTCTGTACCTCATAGAAACTATACTGCATCAACAACTTTGCTAATTTGAAGGAATTTCCTCTCAAGCCTCCATAACTTGAATTTTCTGAGTCCTTTTGAGTGTGACTACGGCATTGCATTTTCTTGACACAGCACTACAGCAGGAAATATAAAAGCAATAAAAAATAACATGAGCTTTGTAAGGAAATGAAAAACTACAGTATTTGGGCGCATAATGAATCATGCTTCCAAGTTCAGAATTCTGGCATCTCATTGAAGAAGCATGTTCAAGGCCCAGAATATCACCCGCGGTTATACAGCAGTACAGTACTGTGATATCCTGCAATTTTCTATATGTACAACAACAAAAATGCTTGTTTCCCCAACTCGAAGTCTGCGTAACTCGAATTTTTCTGGTGGTCCCTTTTGAAATTCCACTTAGATGAGGATCGACTGATGTATATAAACATGAATACGAATGCGTGAATTCAAGCGGAAGCGAACATATATTTCCTCCAAGCATAGCTTCATCCGAAAGCAGCGGAGCACAAAAGAGAAGAGTTTTCGCATAGAAATCAGTCCAGATCGACTTGGTACAGAACCCACTTCGAAGAAAATTCGAATCGCAAATTCATCCCGGGAAAAAAACATAGGGAAGTGAGAGATAAGCGCGTAAGTTTTCGTCAGAAACGGAAACGTCATCCAAGGGTAATGAATTCGCCATGGAAACACAAATTGCATCAGTGAGAGTTACGTCATCGCCTCGCACAGCAACAACGCGATTACGAGTTACAACGATACACGATCCTTGATTCGACTTTTTAATTTCCATCGAATCGCGAACAAAAACTTTTTAATTTCTCTTTTCAATCCTTGCATAAAAAAACCAAAAAAAAATTAACCTCCATGTGAATTCCTGGCTCCCTTCACATTCACGAAAGCAAAATCGGGAAGAGAGCATCAATGGACTCTCTTTCGCTTTTCTTCTCATCCCCACATGTAGCAACTCACAGTCAACTCAACTAACTTGGACAACTTGTTCATCGTCTGAATTTACAGTCTCGCAGCGAAAACATTTTCATTCAATTATATGGTCAACGAAAACAACCAGTAGATACGAGCGAATGGAGTCAATGATGAATTGATCAGAGTAAGAGATGACGAGTGTAAATTTGTGGATCAAAGAAAACACATTATTGATTGATAGCTTTGATCAATTTTCTTAGCACCAGAATCAGGATTTATAAATTTTAAAAATTGATAATTCTTTCGTTTCCTAGGGGAAAGAGGGCACGGTGCGCAATAACGCGGTCAGAGCTTTCAGTGTGTTTCAAAATTTTTAAAGACTGCACATTAAATAAGGAATATTTATAAGAATTAAAAAAAAATGGTCAGTTAAGGGTCGCTTGAGTCGGGAAAAATTCGTCCTTGATATCCATGACAATTTTGAGCAAATGATTCATTTAGTCTAGTGCACGGAGGATAAATCCAAACACAGCGAAATTTTATCAAGAACGATGGATTGATGATTCATGAGTGACACCTATTGATAAAAGAAATCGTAATTCCAAAGGTCAAAACAGTAACATTTATCCTACAAGTACAATGCACTCTCTCCACTTCCCAGTGACGTTCTGGTACGACCACTATCCCCGAATTTTATCAGCTCATCAATCCGCTTAAAACCTCAGGATTCGGTTAATGATTTCCGGCAAGAGAGCCGGTCAACCAAGCGGAAAGTTGCTATGCAAGAAACTTGTTCATCTTTTTCTAGTTCGCTCGACGAAGAGTCAACCCAGATCACCGCATTGACCGTAACGTTCACACCAAACGGATACCATCACTCACTCAATCCTTTTCACAACGTTCGCCCTCTAACGGCGGCGAATTTCCTCACGAACCCGATCGGACCATTCAGTGTCGAAAAAACAAATCGTATTATCACAGAGCGCGAACAAACATGTGGAAAAATAACGGAGAAAAAGTAGCTTTCGCCACTCGCATCTCTGAAGTCGCCCTTCGTCAGCCGAAAAAAAAAATAAAAAGAGCTTCTCGATCAACGAAAGCACTTTGTAGCGGAGAATATACGGGAATCACGGTCGAGTCGCATTTCCGCCTATGCCAACGAAAATACGATACGATTCCTGGAAAATAAAAGCGTTCCATCTCCTGTTCCCCAGTCCAGGGAAGAGTTGAAAATGAAAGCAACGTAAAGCTGTCGGCAAAAGAACGGCGGCGGCGACCATTTTTCACACTTCATCCATAAGCAAATGCACCAGTTAAACCAGCGATGGCATCTTGCTCGCCATCTGCAAAGGGATCACAAGTTGGATGTCGTCGGCGGGTCAGCGACACGTTTCTGGAAATTGTTTACAAGGTCCAAGACTTTGGATGATCGGGCAGCAGCATTCTTCCCAGCACTCTGAAAGCAAAAAATAAATCGGCAAATTATAACTGGACGTGAAATGTAATACTGTGTCGAAAAAGACAGGAAATAAGCGAACAAAACGCATTCCTGGCCTCCGCAAAAATCTTGACCTCAAACGATGCTTCGACAATGCAGAACGCAAAATTCATGTCCCATTAAAGAAACAAAGCATTGGAATGGAGAACATCATAAGGTAAACACAAAACTCACTCCAAATTTCAAGCGATTACGGTAGTTTTACCCAGAGGATGAACTCGTGAAATGCTGAAGTTCGATTATTAATTGACGCGCAAAATCAGTCTCTGAGTGACATCCACGAATATTACCTCAGCATCCAGGTCCTTCGTAAGTTGCTCCTTTTGTTCTCGTTGTTCCTTCCGAAGCTGGGCGATTCGCTTCCATTCTGGAATGCTGCTGTCATTCTGGCTACTACCATTTTGTCCAACTGACATCATGTTCATCTTCGTGTTATTGTTCACAAAGTTGTTGATCAAATTGTTCTGAGCGGCACCGGAGGAGTTTCGGTTGTTCAAAACATTGTTATTGTTGTTGGTGTTGTTATTATTGTTATTCGTCAACGCCGTCTCTGGCTTGAAGGGAAACGCTTTCGGCTTCTCTGGAGAGGAATTCATGATTTCCAAGATTTCGGGGGTCTGCTTCACGGGCTCAAGAGTTTTCTCTTTCACTTTGTCCTTGTCCAGAAGCTCTATGACCTGAGCCTGGAGGTTCTCTGCGTCTTTGGCTTTCAAGGACCGTCTCTGGAACACTTTCAGCAATTCATTGGCCTGCGTCTGCTGCGAGTCAGGTGGTGCCAACGTGGCAGGCGACGTTGCTGGCGTACCAGCAGCACTGGTGGAAGCTGGACGCCAACTCGCGCGATTAAACGGCGCCTCGGGCACTGGCGGCTTCGTCCGCATCTCCACAATGCTGCCGTCAATATTCAACGTTGTCGGCTTTGACACTGCAGCCACGAGACTCGACGACGTCGGCGGAGAAATAGTCGTGGGTGCCAGTGTTGATGCCGGTGCTGTCGGCGCGGCACTACTCAACACCGGGATCTTTGACGCGGGATTCTTCCGGGATTCACCAATTTTGATCACAGTTCTAGAGCCTGGTGATGACGTTGTTGAAGCCGCCTGATCATCGGCAGTCGACATCGCGACGAGCTTTGGGCGTGTTGTTATGGCTGTGCCGGAGTTGGGGTTGAACGTGGGTCGCGGGCCGATGAAACTTGCGACGATCGGATCCGTCTCCATGGCATCGTCATCCAGGTCGGTCTCCATGACTCCGAGAATCGGAGCAGGCGGAGGTCCTTTCGTCAAAAGCGAAGGGGAAGAAGACGTTGTCGACACCGTGGACGAAGACGAGGTAGAGGATGAAGAGGAACTCGAGTGCTTCAGTTGATGACGTTCGAACGCTCGCACCTTGCATTCCCAAACCTGGAATAATGCACAGTATATATACGATCAACAAACAATCGTGACGCACCGAGAAAATCGCTCAAAGGAAATTACTCCATTTCCTCGCAAGACGTGGGGGAAACTAATTTAGGGCACCGAGGCATAGTTCACAAAAGAATATAAGCTATTCAGATAAGAAAAAAAAAGCACGAGGATCACGAATCCATTTCACGGAACACGGATTCGGAGAAAATGCGGAGGATTTAATTACAGTAGATATATTTCCCTTCAATCCGTTTTTTCACTCTGCCATAGAACTTACGGTAATTGGATGATCACAGCCGAGTAGGTAAACTGCAGCCAGACACATGCTGCACAACTTTTTAACCTTCTGGTTTTGCTTCAAAATACAATCAAGGTGTCTGTTTATCGATCCAAATGTAATTAAATCGACATTCAAGTTTATATTCAACTTTTAACTTTCATTCAAGTCATGTTGGTCTTATAGGGAATCCAGGGTTCTTCAGCGTTAAGTATTAAAATTTCTTTCAACATTTCCTCAGACATTTTTTTGTTTGTTTGTTGAATTAAATTTTGCAGCCGCAGTTTTACTCACAGGCTTTTCTCATGGCACCCCGCAGCATAAAAATTATCAAAAGTTCGATTAAACGAAACTTACACAGATGAAGCTATACTTTAGGACGTCTTGAAAATCTTTTGATACTTCCACAATGCGGTGAGCCATTTTCACCCCACAAGAAACAGGAAGACTCACCTTCGGTTTGATTTCCGGCTCCTTCACAGCACGTAAGTCTTCCGCACTGTCGTCATCGTCTTCGTTCCTCCCGCGTGGCATGATACTGGCACGCTTGGCTGGCACTGGTCTAGTGGCAGGCATAACAAGCAGCGACACCGGGCCGTTAGAAGTAAAACTAGTGCCACTCCCGCTGCTGCAGCTATCCTCCGCTGTCGCTGTTTCATCGTCAGTCCTCGAAGTCAAGACGCTATCCAAGGACATCGGTCCACTGTCACCGTTATTGACCCCATTCTGGGTCACGTCAAAAAAACCAGTGCGGCGTAAATGCACAAATAAACTCTGACGTCGATTCTCCGTAGACTCTTCTCCACTATTTGACTTGGGCGACGAAGAAGGAGCATCTTTTGTCTTCGGTCGCATTACGGCAACCGGAGGCGAAGTCTGTTCCATAAGCTTCTCAATACTGTGGTGGCTTTTCCGCAACTGCCACTTCGTTTCCAACTCGTCATTGACCTGTTCTTCTTGAGTCGACGTCCGACGTCGCTGGGGAACAGGTGACGGGGGTTTGGCTTCGTTCGCCCGACGAAAACTTCGCACAGAATTCACACTTCCCTGCTGATGTTGATGAGATGTCGCTGCTTCTTTCGGTTTATCCTCATAATTCTCCACGTCATAATTGTCATCGTCATCGTCGTCGTCGGCGTCACTGTTGTCGACATCGTCAGCCATGACCTTTAGCTTCTTTTGGAATGAACTGAGGCCTTCGATTCGGGCGGGTTTCGGAGATGCTGGGGTGTGGGTTTGTTGGTTCAGAGCCATGCGACCAAACGGCAGAGAAGCACGGGCGGGTTTCTGTGGTTGCGATGGAGGTGCTCCGTGGAGACGATTCACCGCACTGCCCACCATGAAATGGGGCTTCGGGTCAGCAGTCGGGGTCTTGTGGATCACGTCAGGTTGGATCACAACACTGTCTTCGCCCTTGTTGCTTGTGTCAGGCGATGGTTTCTGCTGTACGTCCTGCATGAAAAGTGGAAACGAAAAATCAAATCACATGTTCAAAACCATAAAAACTATAGGCATATTACTGTATTTGGATACATCAGTTGAGCCTCAATAACTCCAACCTCCTTATGCAGAATTTTTCAAGTTCTCGTCTGAATTCCCTCGGGAACCATGCATTAAAAACCATAGCAACTTGACGCGTTTTTCCCTCTCAAATAACCTCCATAACTCGAATTTTCTGAGGCCCTTTGGCTATTATTTTGACACAGGGAAAAGAAAAGTAATGAACAAAGTAAACCGATGTGTTCTGAAAGGAAGCTGTGAAAGACTAGTCCGGGAAACGAACCCTTTCTCTTCAAGTTCTACATTCTGTAATCTGATTTACAAAGCAATTCAAGGTATAGAACATCGTCAACAATAACAATTTCCCGCAATTCTTTCATTCCACGAAAAAAATGTAAGTTTCCTTAACTCGAAACCTACGTAACTCGAATTCTTTTCTGGTCCTATGAAATTAATAGACTTGGAGGAGGTTCGACTAAATTCAAGAACTGAGAACTGCCTTTAAAATTTTGGTCCTAATACAAACGAAGTCAAAACTTTTCTTTAAGAGGACGTGAACTATAGCTAGGAATGATTTCATACGCATGCATAATCTGAAAATTATGCGCTCTTCATCATGGGATCATCATACATTCGTTTGAAAAAACTCTTACTAAAGCAATTCAAGAACAACACGCGTGAGTACGGTGATAATAAAGATGCTGGGCTCTCTCCATACAACGATTGTGTCTACAACGATTTCCTCTATAAGTCTACATTAAGTATATTTCCTCTATATTTCTGTCGTCACATAGGGTCCTCTTCTTCTCATGTTATTTGGGTTGTCTCCAAAGAAATTCTCTCTAAAACTTTTTTTTTTTCTAGAGCCTTGAAGCTCGTTTTAGAGAGTCCACCTGTATTAAAGCGTCATCATATATGACAGGGTGCCGACATGTCACATGCTGTGAGAAGATGATGCTGGCAAGTACAGAAGACGCACAGTTGTGAACTTCATTTTAAAATATTTAATTGAAACAAACCTTGTTAGAATAGTCAGCGGCGGGCTTTGTACTGTCGGATTCGGAACGAGTGAAACTGCGAGGCATTCTGACGGTGTGGGTTTTGTTGGCGGCGCCGGTTTCAGCAGATGGCGGAAGCAGTGCGTACGCCTCGGGTCGCACAAACTTGGTGTCCGTGTCTTGCGCGTAGCCGCCCTTGGGGTCCATCCGGCGTTGCGGCGACACGGACGTGGACGAAAACCGCCGCGGCGGCTGGGACTCGCTCCGTGGTTTCGACAACGCATTCGGAACAAAGCCGCCTTCGTCATCGTCCGTTCCCACATTCTCATCTCCGTGCTTGCCTGTTACGAAGATAGAATATCATCATCATCAACATCCAGTCGCATAATATATGTAACAGTAAAATCTCGGAACAGCAAATTTTTCAGTATACAGTATCACAAACTTTTCCTTGAGCCCCGGCAGCAGAGAGCCCATAGATTAAATGTCAAAACAATCTTCCCAATTCCAGAACATCAACTTTCTTCGTGAAGAATATTCAATACATTCCCGCGGGTAGAAATTTGCTGACGGAAGGCAGACACAGTCTGAATTGCCAATCCCAAATGTGACTAATTAGTTCTTGCAGCATGAAAGGAAGCTGCAATCAATGACAAACATGCTTCCAATCGGTTTTACACATAATACTCCCAAATGAATAAATTTGTGCAACAGATGGAATGCATGATAGAAGATGATTTTTAACCTCAGACGATCACTCAGTTTTTCATAGATTGATGAAAATATAGGAAAATGCCAGACAAGCAAGATCTGATTGATAATAAGCAGGTCCTGACGTGAAAAATTTTTCCAGTCATTAATATTGTAAATATTTCATTATAAATAATTAACCAAGTATAAGTAAGCTTTTCTGTAGTCCCCAAAAGTTTGTCATAACAAAATTCTACGGTATTCGATGTGCAGTTCAATATACAGTATAAGAAAACTTGAGAAACCCATAATCAGTGCTTTTCAAGTCTTTTTAATTTTCAAAATTCTGTCAGAGTTGAAAAAGTATTCAAGGGTGTGTTTGCATCACACGCGTACAATCAACAACACAAACTCAAGAGTTTAAACTTTGTCGATCGTCCGAAAACCTTCTTTATAAGATGGATATGGCACCTGACAGGGAAAATTCAAAGAATTTAAATTTCCCTTCTGATCTCACGAAATGGCTATTATTTTCGGCATTAGTTTTCGAAATTTATGAAGAAGACTCTATAGAAGTACTTTCCCGTCAAAAACAGCTGCGGTACTTGCTTATGACTTTTAGTTCAGTTGGGTCAAATATGATTTGGTGAAAGCTGCTCAGCTTAAGCTGAATTTTTTATGGTTTCATAATAAATTTTTTCTTCAAAGAATAGGCGATACGTGACACGCAAAAAAAAAAAAAAATGAGCACAAGCCTTACCATCATCCTTCTTTTTCTTGAAACTGCGTCTAAAATTGGAAGGTAAAAGTCGTCCGAAGAAAGAATGGGATTCGCTGCCGCCGTTGACTGCATCGTCGGATGGGGATTTACTATGATTTTGCCTGCCAAAGCTGCTGTTTTTCTTGTCTTCTTTCTCCTTCTTGATTCTTCGCAAATCCCTGCGTCGACTCTCGCGTCCAAAAGCCGCTGCGACGATCGACGACGAACTAACCGGGGTTTCTTCAGCACCCGGGGGGTCGTCTTCAAAGACAGGCGTCCTTTTCGGCGGCGAAACGTGTCTGAGAGGAGTCGATTTGGCGTCGACTTCCGGCTAAAAACATTATTATAAAAACATGAACTGTAGATTAGCAGTTGAACCTCGATAGCTCGAATACCTCCCTAAGAAGTCCATTTTATTTTTAAAGTTTCTGTCGGAATTCGACGAGAAAAAATACTGAACTGTACATTAAAAATAAGCTCTCGAACTCAAAGGCTCTTCCTCTCCAACCTCCGTAACTCCAATTTCTTGAGTCCTTTTCGGCTAATATTTTTCTTTACACAGGAAAAGAGAAAAGGAATAATCAAAACAATAAGTTTATGTGTTTTGAGAGGAAGTGAAAGACTAAATTGGGCAATTGAACCCTTGTCTCCGAATTCCGCATCCTGTCAGCTAATTCCAGAAGCAATTTAAGGTACAGAATATCACCAGTTACAATTCCCTGCAATTCTTCGATTTTTCCCCACTACAAAAACGCTGGGTTCCCTATAATTAATTTGAAACGTCCCTCTTTCGATTTTGCCTAAATGTCCCATGAAATTCGATAACGTAGAGAAGATTCGACTAAATTTAGAAATCGATTCAAACAAACATAAACAAAATTCGTCTATCATCGCTCTTTTTAATATTTATTTCGCTCTGCTTTTACTCACCCGTTTGTTTTCATAAAATCGCTCCACTTCGTGACGCATTTTACGATCAGCTCCAGTTGATTTGCTTCTGGAAAGCTTGGTCGAAGGCGAAGGGGTCGGAGATGGTGAACTTGGTCGCACTGACGACCTCATGCCCAAAATCTCTGCAGAAATATAAATAGAGCACTTGTGAATAAAAACGGAAATATTTCACACGCAATCTACGACTAGAATTTTACCGTCATTCTCACACGAGTACAAAGTCGACTTTTGCGCCTCTTATTCTAAATCTTCAAGTCTCCCTAAATGCCTAAAATATCACATGGTGTGATGGTGAACATAAAAGCTCAGATGGGGTTAAAATCCAGAACCGCTTTCGAAGAAGATTCCTGAGGCATACATGACTAAATATACGTGTGTTTGTAGATATATTTTTTATTAAAACAGTGTTTTGGAAGCTTGCAGCAGTCCAAGGACTTCATTGCCCGAAACTGAAAATATTTCTGGATCACTCCCTCAAAATAAATACAGTCAACCCTCGGTTCAGCGTCACTCTTGCCAAGTGCCACAAATGTCCCTGGTAAAAATATTCCCTCTTTTGCCTTCTTGAGGGAAATCCCGATTTAGGATCAGCTCACTTAGACCCACAAACAACTTTGGATTTTGGCCCATTTTTTAAAAACGTGACAAGAAGTTGAGGTATTTTTTCCAGTGAAAAATTTGGTTTTAACTTAGAACCACATAAACATGCCCAAAAAAACGAAACATATTTTTGAGCATTCTACTTTTGAATTTAAATTGAAAAAAAAATCCTTGTTGTTACATGACACCTTCCTTAATGATGGCACCTGATATGAAACTCAAATGCACACAAAATCTTGAGAAACAGCTTTGCTCTTTTACTCCAGTAAAAGGTGTCACGTTTCAAAATTGAATGCATTGCATATTAAAAACAATATAGTAAAAACTTTAGTAAAAAATTCATCCAATTTTCAAAAGTGTGTAAGTGGTGTAACACCTGCAGCATAAATACATTAGTTTGTGCATCACCAGAGCACCTTCTCTTTTTATGTCCAGCATTTCATACTGATAGAAACAAGCTTAAGAAAGATATACAAGTACTGGAATTCAATAAAGAGACCCTTTCTGAAATTTTAAAGGATCAAGATAAACTGTTGGCTTTATTCGATTTCTCATCAAAGATTCTCTCTCATTTGTTCATTCAACTAAACCTCATACAGAAACAAGCTGAGGACCTTGTGCTTAGGGGGTTTGGTTGTGGAAATCTTGATTGAACCTTGTGAACGCTGAAAAGCAGCAAATAAAGTACTCTGTTCATTCATTCATTCAAAAACAATATAAAAATAATGCGCTTGAGATTTAAATTATTTATTTTGGTTATCTATCTCATGAGAACAAAATCATTGGCCAAATAATTCTTTGAGCAAACTTATTTTGTCAAAAATATAAACCTCAAATAAACCTCCCTCTTTTACAATCCCCTCCATTCAGTACCTGAGTATTTAAATGACAAATGGTAGCAGTAAAACGAGGATTGACTTAGAAGAAGCAAGTTGATTCCTTCCAAATTAAAAATAATATTAGTACTTTCCGTCACCATCGAAATATAATGTCAACGGAAAGAACAAAAACAAAAATCCACAGAAAAGCGTTACAATTTGTCAACTCACTCTCTTGCTGACGCGAGTGCTGCGGTGGCGGCGTCGGCGAAGTGGCGGCAGTCGCGGAAGACGTTTCCACCACCACCGACGACGACACAGTCCTGGAAGTACTATTCGAAAACACCTGCAGGGTCTCAGAGTGCGACTTGGTCATGACGTAGCCCGACGAAGACCCGACAACATCCTCGTTCATTTCCGGCGTCGATGGTAAGACGGACGCCGACGACAGCTGCTGCAGGCGTCGATGCCTTGTCGGACCCGTCGTCCGTCGCGGACGGACGGCGATCTTGTGACGCGCCGCCGAATGACTCAACGGCGCCGCTCCCAACGGCGGCTCGCCCAACGGATCCCATTCCGCTGCAAAAACAAATAAATAAATAAAAACAATGCAGTGAACTCCTCGAAATACGCCGACGATTCGACTTGGGGACACTTGAAATTTGAAACAATCTGATCCGACATCCGGACGTTTTTTTGTTTGAAAATTAACAGTCTAGGAAACTGTTGAGTTTTCATTTTTCAAAATTTGCATATCCCTTGAACAAATTGAGCTATTTGTATTCTCAAGTTAAAAATGAATTTCAAAAGCAAAATTACTCGAATTTAAAGTAGAAATGGGTCCATTTTGCGCTTCTTCTTGTTTTTTTCTCCATCATCTGTGCACATAATGGCAGTCCTTGTATTTGTTGTTGTTGCTTTTTCAGGTTTTTTTGATGCCAGAAGATCATATTCTGCGCGGTTTTTTTCCAACCAGTTATTCTCTGTATCTTTCAATCAAGGAACACATTTTATTCGATTTTTAGGAGATTTATTCCTAATTTTCGATGAACTGGAGAACCAATCAAATCAGTTCTCATTGAAGTCTATGGAAGAATGAGGTTCAACACGCGGACGTTCCGACATAGGGACAAGGTTCAAGCACCAATTACGTCCGCATCTTGGGATCTCACTGTATTCTCTTCGTGAAGGTCAATCGAAAAGACAAGAATATAAAGAAGAAGGAGATGCAAACAGTAGCAGCACAAACATTTGAGATCGTGATGAAGCAATTCTCACCTCCGTCTTGACTTTTCCTCTCTGTCAATGAAAGCTTTGAAGAATGCCGCGACGTCTGGCCGAGCCCAGAATCCTGCGGGAGAAAACAATTCGTTTCATGCAATCAATGATCCCCGATTATTCCATTGCTTAAAATAGGGACCCTGCTCTTTATTTAATAAGTTGAATTTCGTTTGCGAAAGAAATTGCTGCGAATTTCTGATTTCAAGACGCACCCCAATTTACAACACGTGAAAAAAACAACGTCTTATATTTGATGGCGTCTCAATATTTGAAGCTAAAAAAAAACACGTGCTTCCTTCAAGGCGAAAAGCTCTTGTTCTCGAAAAAACTCTAGTGTAGATTTCAATTGAAGTCTCACCAACATTTTCCACTCTAAAGTTCAAATCCTGATTGAGGAAATTCAGCTGGTAACTGAAGCACGAGTAGAATGAAAAGAATCATCATACATTTCAACTTTTGTGCTAGCTTTCGCTCTTTCCACACTTTACTCCAATATAAGACGCCATTTTCGGCATCAAAATGAAAGACAATTACGTCTGCAAGGATAAGACACACTTGCAAAACTTGAATGTTTTTTGGAATATCGAAGGAATTCGTTGATGGTAAATTCATGCTTCAGGAACACAGTAAATCTCAGGAACCCGCAAAAGAAATCTAAAGAAATCTGGATTCGAAGCATAAACAATTCGAACAAAAGGAACATCAAGTACAGTACGTTATTAATTTAATTATTATACACAATATTTACAGCAATCGAAAGAATGTGTTGGGTTCTACTAAATCACACATCACAACCAAAAGTAAAAGATGCGACCTAATTTTCGAAGCACTACAGACAAAAACATGCGCCATATTAAAAAAAACCGGAACTATGTCATTTGCGGAAATCTTTCGAAAGTACAGCATGAAAGCCCATTTTTTTCATACTTCCATTGTATTACTTTTTATGTTATTCAGAAGCAAACTTTGATTATTTTACGAGGGATATAAATTGAAACAAAGTTCATCTCGCTTTGAAAAATGAGTCCAGCAATCTATCCAAAAAATGTGCGCTTCTCTTTCTCTCTCTCCCGATTTCGAAATCAGAAAGATAGGTTCAACAAGACCATAATTTACTGTCGGCAAAATAAGGTGTGGTGCACATTATTTCTCAAAAAAAAAAATAAAAATACCACCTCTAAATCGAACACTAGCTCTCTCTCTCGGATTAATCGCAACATGGTAAGATGTAATTAAGAAATCGCTTCGATAACGGGTTTTCCTTTTATTATTGTACAGTATTATTTCAATTTTCATCATCAATCCGCCGCTTCGTGAATGAGAAGGTCATCTTCTTCGTAGACAGAAATCATTGTCATGAATGTGTGAGAAAGCAAAAAAAAAAGAAAAGAAAAATAGTCTCTATAGAGACGTGCCCTTCCTTCCAATCGAATTCGCAAGTACTCCTCGCCACCTCAATTTCTTACCACTACAGTACAAGGGTTGGTTCCTAAGTTTTGAGACTTTTTGAAATAGATCCAACCGAATTTCAACAATTCCAAAAACATCTTTCTACTTGCACAGCCCCATCATTTGGCATCACTTCAGTGATGTTCAGCATTGGCTGAACAGCATATTCAGCCAATTCATTTCATTATTTCTCACACAATACATCCAAAGTGTTGGAACAATTCAAGAGACTGTGGTGATCAATCACTGCCATACTTCATTGTTTACAGTTAGATGTTGAGTTGGAGGTTTGAATCATTTTCCACAACTTTTGAAGGAAATGCAAAAGTTACTCCAAGAGAGAGTATCAAGAAGTTTTATTTTATCCTTCACACAATAGATACAAAATACAATTGTTGCAGAGTGAAGCAAATCCAACAAGCTGTCTGGTCAGAGTCAGGTGGGGTATACTTAACACAACATAAAATACACCTGTATATTTAGCCTTGGTTGGCCAAGGTCAAGAAACACACATAGAAACTGATTCAGATTGCGGGTGTCACACTATGTTTCTTTAAAAGGAAGGAAGCTTGAGCGCAGTTGGGAAAGTATTTAGTTGGCAATGAGATTGTGAAATATAATTGCTAGCGCACTATGCACATCCAAGCATAGCAGAAATACATTAGTTTAAAAGAGCTATACAGAAAGTGTTTGTGCGTTGTAGTCATTGATATGACTACAAAAGATAAAAACAGTGCCAAAAATTGAGTTCTGTTGGCTGATTAAACAGGTTGTCTTCATCAACAATGGAAATGAGGCTGTCCGTGTCCTCAAAGTCAATCCCTTTCAGGTGGTTCTTCACTGTTGGGAACATCAGCCAAGAATACACAGGGTGCCAATTCAATCAACATGACTCTACTTTGGGCACTGTTCTGATTGTTGGATTTATTGCATAAAAACATTTTTAAATTGGCTGAGAGTACTGTATGTTGAGCAGCATTCAAGTGTTACCAAATGATGGGGCTAACCTAGTAAAAAAAGAATTGTTTTTCAATTGTTGAAACTCCGTCGGATCTATTTTTGAAAAAGTCATCAAAACTTATGAACTAACCCTGGCCCATCACAATTGCAACACACGCCATCCGGGGGCGGATCAATAACAGCAACAGCACTCACCTCGTCATGTTCCGAACTCGCCATGCTCAACAAGGAGCCGTCGCTTCTTCCCTCGCGGTTCCTCGCCACAGCCTGCAAAAAATAAGTACAGAAATAAAATATTAATGCATAATAATACCTTAAACACCACTTCGAGTCATTTGCTCATTCGAATATTCAATAACCCGGCGTCAGCACATATTATTCCCTCCCTACCCCAAAAATAAAAAAGTACTCGAGGAGCGCCGAGCAGAAAAGTACATGAGCGCAGGAATGCTGGCTTTTGCTCGTTATCAGAGACAAAGTCTGGCTTTCTTCTGGCAGAAGTCGAGCGAAAAGATATGCAAACAAGGCTTGGCCATAGCCTCTATGCAAACTATACGACAGTAATGCAAAAAGAAAAAAATTAACAGAACAACAGTGAAATTTTCGTATACTCGTAAAAGAGAACGAAATGTACGCTTTCGATATTTTATTCGCGCAACGGGAATTCTGCGCATAGATTTGAAGACGGAAATTTCGTTTTTTGGTATGAATAATACCTCGGGTAGTTTCGAAATTATATTGTTCCTCGAAAGAGGATTACTGTACGTATAAAATTTATTCTCAAGACACGTGATAAACAAATTTAGACACCAAGAACCTTTCCAAGGGAACTGCACATTCGTGAAGCCCATTGCACTTCCGGATCAATCGGAACTAAACCTTTTCGCCAAACTGTAAACGGTACTCATCATACAGAAATTAAAAATTACCAAGAAGCAAATTTTTTTAAAATTGTTAAACTGTACTGCATTTCACTAATATTTTCAGCAATTACAAAGAACAAAAAGCGTGAAAAATGCGCGATAGATTTTTCAGACTCCAAATCTTTCAGTTTTTCATGCAGCAATTCGACATTCCTGTCGGTGTTTTTTTTTTCCAAGAATTACATAGTGAAAAATTATATTTCACAACCATTTCAATCAAATTTTCACAGATTACAAATTCAAAATAAAAGCACCTGAAAAAAGCGCGATGGAATTATCAGTCTGCAAAACCTGTTCAATTTTTGATGCAGACGTTCAATGTACTGTATTTGTTGTCGGCGTCTTGAAAACAATTACATCGCGGAAATTTATATTTCATTGCCATCCCAATAAAATTTTCAGCAGCTATAACAGATATAAAAGAAAAAGCCTGAAAAAAGCGCGACGAACTTTTTCAGTCTCAAAATCCTGTTTTATTTTTCATGAATGAGGAATTCAACGGCATTGTCGTGGTCATTGTTTCATTAATCACCAGCAATTAAAAAATGCCTGAAAAAGTACGATTAACGTTTCAGTCTCGAAAGGCTGTTCAATGTCTTATGCAGTAATTCAACGGAATTGTTGGCTTGAATTCAGAAAATAATTTCCAGTTTTTTTCTGCACAGGAAAAAAAAATTCTTCAACACTTTCACCTCGCTATATCTACTTCAAGCATCAGTTTGCACTGTCCGTATACAGTATATCCTTTAAAGCAATTACGAATAATTTTATGCGCGGCTCTTGTCGCTGACTTCGCTGGTAAACAAATACTTCATCCTACGCGAACATTCATCTTGCTCATGCAAGAAAGTACGAAAGTAAGTCTTTAAACGCGTTCGCATAATAAATACACTTTATTTTCTCGTCTCGCCACCAATTTCCCTCGGCGAATGCAGTTCCACAACCATGCGATTGTCTCTATTTGACGCAGAAATAAAAAAGGGAACTGATCCAAAATCACCAAATAACTTGAGCAACAACAGCAAAAAAAAAAAAGAGCTTGCGAAACATCCATCGGCATTGATTCGCTCCTTGACCACGACGCAGCGAGGTCTGAAAAAACCCGCGGCAATAAAGGACGGCGTTCGCTAATGATGCTGATCAGTTAATGACGCGCAGCGTGATTAACGAAAAAGATCACGGCGAAACCGGAAGCGGGAGGCCTTTCACGCAGCGTGAAAAACATTCGCACTGAACCGTGTTATTTGCGATGCTCACTGCGGAATGATCAACTACCGTATATTTCATTCAGGTATTTTTTCTTTCTCTCCAGAAAATCATAATTATCAGCCACCCCCCCCCTCCCCGAGGGCGAGAATGCATTAGAATTAAATCCCGGAAATAAAACAACGAAAATTCGAAAATGAAAAACGACCGAGTGACGCGTCAGAAGCCGTAATTCGAGCCAACGCTGAGAAAATCTGACGTCAGAAGACAAGTCCTGGCAAATAATCACTGCCTCACGGGGCCCGAAAAAAAAAAAAACACGCAGCTTTCAAACAAAGACTTTTCATGGTCTGGAAAAACTGTGTTTGCGCAGACCTCGCATTTCCTCGAACGAATACGAGACGCATTAAAAAAAAATCGCAGCAAAAAAATAAGGGGCATATTTCATTCCATGATGGCATTTTTTAAGCGAGTAAGTTTTACACTTGATGAAGTCTCCGACTCACAAATCTGATCGTCGAGATATTTTTTAAATAAGACGCTGCCTGAAAAAAATACGCACCATCCATTCAAAGCAGAATACTTGCAATCCTTATTTTTTTAATGACAATTTTTGAATTGAGCATCGCTGAAACAAAAAAAAAAAAAATCAAGTTGGATGAGCATCTTGAGGAATTTTATATGTGATGAGGGTGCTTGAACGAATACAGAAAATATTTCCATAATTTGTGACACAAAATATATGGTAAAACTGCGTCCTACAATCTACAGCATTTTTCAAGCTTGAGCAACGTCTCGAGTCTCACGGTCTCCAAATAAAAAGAACAACGAATTTGAGGAGTTTTCAAAAATATTTTTCCGATACACTGAGAAGTACAGTGCATCATAAACTTGATTGGACTTCATTGAAAAATGCGCCAATGCTTACGAGAGGAACTAAATTGAATTGCAATTCCAAACTGCGCATTAGGATTCGGTTCGTAATTTTAAATTCAAACAAATTAGAAAAATATTGCGTCTTCTGCGATGGTCTTCATGGTACTTGTTTGAGAATTTAAAACTTGAAAACTTTTAATTCTACTGGAAGCACTTTCTATATGTAAATTCCCGAAACATGAAATGGACCAAAAAAGGTATGCTTTTGGCCACTTGAAATCGAGTACGCCACGATGGTACGACTTCCATAAAGGCATTCTTCGTGGAAGTTCACCTTCCTCTTTTCTGGTTCACTCATTAGAAAACTCCACCAAGGTTTTTTTTTTGCGTGTGTCGCTTTTGTTTTAATTTTCATTCCTCGACACGAAGGCGGACGTGGATTTTCTCACGTTATGTCCCTAAAAACCTTTTCCGCTCGCCCGACTACAAGAAGGTCTTCGGGTGGAATAAATCCTCGAAGGTGAACTCGTTTACGTATTCATTCGCGATGACCCAAGGAGAACTTCATGCCACGTAAACGAGTCACCAAAAGATAAGTTTTCCACCTTTTTTCGACAAGTACAGTCAAGAGAGAAGATACAGTTCATGGGGTACTTAATTAACAAAGCATTGACATGAAGAGGAATCGAGGGAAAAACGGCGCTCTTCCCTGGGCCGCCTTCAATTATCTCGTCGTGGCGTCCCATTATCTCGAATTTTTATACTACTGCTGCCCGAAGGTTGCTGCTTGTGTCGTAACTGGGTTGGAGACAAAGAAAAAAAGAAAAAAAGTACGAATTTTACGGGTCTTCCCGCAATAATTTTTTGTTGTTGTTAATCGTGTGAAGCGGCGAAAATTGCTTCATATCCCTGGGCTTTTTGTTTCATGAAGCGAACAGAGCATAGCATTGTTGCATTGCGTGGAGTTGGCACCACTCCGCGTAAAATTTTAAAATTCATTTCGAAATTGTTGCGCATTTGCTGGCTTTTTTTTTTTTGGCCGGTGGTTTATTTTTTAAGCCTTGAAATTGCTGAAGCGGTCAAAGCTCCGAGTTCTTCGCAAAATTCGGCTCCATGAAGATTTTAAATACAATATTTGAGAGCAAATATTGACGCAGCGATTGGATTTCTTCTACTTATTTTTCAAATTGAAAACGAAAGTTTCTTGCAATCAAAATGGAAAATCTCAAGCGTCAACCCATCGTTCAGATGTAAACAATGCGCATGCAATATTTTGAATTTATACGGCACATGCATTTTTGTTGCCTGGATAAAATGCAGACCAATATCTTGAAACACTATTTTAAGAAATTAAGAGGGCGCGATTTCGGCTCTTACGAAAGTCAAGTTCTGCTGTTTTTGAAAGGAAAAAAAGATTTGACACATTATGCTCATGGCCACACACAAAAATTAAACGCACTCTTGACACATTTTCAGATTGGCGAGAGACGTTGTAGTATAAATCTCGAAAGCTGAAAATTCAAATACTTCTGAAATTTCAAGAAACTCATGCTTCAAATGAATATGACGTCATTTTGACGTCTATCAGAAATCCACACAAAACACCAAAAACTACTTTCCTGGATGTTCGCTTGCTTTTCCGCCATATTTGGCCACAGAAGGAAGAAACATGCGGCAATTTTCTGGTTCAAAGCGGGATTTGTTCGTTAATTTTTGGTGACTTTATCAATTCGGCCAAGAAATTCATGAATTAATTACTAATCTCCGGGTTGCAATACAATTTACGAAGCTCTTCCATGCGATGAAAAGTCTATCCGTTGAAGTCACATGACCATCTTCCTCAAGTTTTTTTCTTCTACAGCATATAAAGGCTTTCCAACGAAGGTTGTTCTTTACCACCATATTGGAGTAAAATGTCGTTAAAAATAATATCACTATGACGAATGAGTAATTGCAAGGAATTTGTTTTTAGGCCTCTGCCCAATAGTTGCAACGTTATTTGAGTTTCCTCACAATTGATTTTTTTTTTAGTTACGAAAATATTTTCCTGCTTCCAATGGCTTCATAGTAGCGAGATTTTCATCTAGTAAAATCGTACTCAAACTTTGAAGCTTCAAAAACCTCGCGTTTTCTCTGCTGCAGAATTCATAATCTAATCACTGAAAACAGCGATTTCAACAGAGCAGAGGCGAAAGGAAAAACGCGAAAAAAAATTCAAGTGTCACCTCGTTCGATAAGTTTATTCTGCTATAAAAAGCAATCGAGAGAAAAAGGAAATTATTAATTGCGGACCGGAAAGCTTCCGACTGGCATTAATCACTCGCGTGTCCCGATTGCACCCAAATGCCGCAGCACAACGTTGGGCAATTGGAAGAATCAATCAATGACCCTCCTCTGTGTTTCCGGGCAGACAAATGAAAGGAAAAAAAAAATCAATAAAAAAAAATAAAAAATCGATCGTCTTTCGCACTTGCGCCCCCCCCCCTTTTATTTTGCCATGCACCACGTACTGTACGTCAATTTCGCAACTTGACACTTGAAACACGCCCGCGTTTCGACATGTACAGAGTGCAAAAAACATTGGCGTCGAATGCAATATTTTTTCCGGACCACGTACAGATTTTCGTGACTTTTCACACGATGAATAAAAAAACAATCATACTAAAAGAAAAAAATACCGACTGAATGAAAACAACAAGAATTGTTCAATTCTGCGACCTTTTTTGATGGGCAAAATACGCCATATCATAAAGTTTCGCTCTTTTTCAATAACAGTCCTAAATTACAAAATAGAATTGTCATTTCCTTCGTTTTTCGCTTCATGTTCGTCACTAGCTGGTGCGGAAAACAAATTACAAGGGAATTTATCAATACGCAACGAATTCTGTGCTAAAGTTTGTTGGGCAGCGATAAATTGGTAGAGTACTGTAATTTCGATGATGAATGATCAGACTTTGCTCATCACACGGATGATTCGATTTAGTGTGAGTAGATGTCACTCGGAATCATTTCAAATGAGCATTTTATTCTTCTACTGAGCCTCCACGATAGAGTCGTATCTATACATTCGTGTTTCCTTTTTTATTCGGAAGATAATTTTCATGATCGGGTTCATCGGCACTTGAAAAGACAAATAATTAATTATATCTTTCAATTTCTTCCAGGGCGCAAACATAATTTTCAATATTTCGAGGCATTTTTAGAAAGGATCACTGACGCGTTTACTGAAGAAAATTCATGTTTTCGCAACACAATTTGCGTCAAATGAGTGAGAAAAAAATGCGTCGACAGCGAGGAAATATTCACACGGAATTTAGAAGCATGAAAATCATCAAGGAATGATTTCCATGGTACCTGCTCAATTTTCATCGGGGCTTACAAAAAATGCCCCCAAATCATAAAATGAACTTTCAGACTTCTCTTTCCCCGCAAAATCGTTTCAAAACCGGACAAGCTATGTCTATCCACAAGAGACATAAAACTTCAAGAAACCATTCCGTTGAACAATAATTCAATAAACAAATAACCACAGTCGCCGTCATAATGGCTTCTCGAAAACCTCTGTTTTGCATCCCAACTTTTTCCTCTTGTTTGATTATCAAACGAAGCAAGTCTCCGCGGTTTCCACACATGTAACAATCTCATCGCGGTTGCTCAATGGTCTTCACCGTTGGCTGCTCTCACGACGAAGGCAGAACAGACACAACACAAGGGCTCACCAGTCCATGCAAAGCAAAACAAATAAAACAAAAAATATACACAAGAGAGGAAAAAAAAAACGTGCTTCAAAATCGCATATTGCCGCGCAACAAAACGTTGGGAAATCTGCGAACACAATCCACGAAATGCATTCCCACGATCGCGTCGGAAATTATCCCACAATACTTTCAACCGAGAAAAGAAAATACTGTACTGTAAAAACCATCAAAAGAAGAAGAAAAAAGATTGGAGTTGATATTGCTAAAAGTACTGCAAATTGAACCGCACGTACGTCGTGAGGTATCACGATTCGCATTCCCCCCCTCTCATCAACTTCAATAGTCTATTTTTCCCATTCTAAGAAACATTTCGCGTTTCTAGTCACGGTTTTCTTCGTAAGTCGAAAGTAAGAGGGTTCAAGGGATGATTCAAAAGTGTTGAGACTTTCGCGTATTAAATGGATCGTAAAAAAAAATACATAGGTTGCTTATAGTGAGTGTGCAAAAATATAAATAATGACGCTCCAGGTTCGGCTGAAGCAAGAATATTTTGCTTTAAAACAAGAATCTTCATGCTGTAACTCATGGAATAGGTTCTACAAGTCTTCCAACTGATTAGAATTAGTTATGCGCCAACTGAGGTTCATAAAAATATTTACCACGATGAAAACAATATTTCTAAAATTCTCAATCCCACGTGCTTTAATCGCCGGATGAATTCAGTGAAAAATACGCTAAAATCGGCAGGAAGAATGCTGAACAGCAATGGTGTATTCCTGGATCACGGCTTGACACGATTTGCAAAGATATTTTCGTTAAAAATAATACTCCGGCTTTTAATAATACTCTTCTTTCAAGAAACGCTTGATGAGACACCCAATAAAATGAACCTCAGGAATAAATTTCATCCGAATCTCTCCACTATTAAGAACAGCCGCCGCAAGAGTATTAATTTTATTTTCTCGCTTGAACAACCATAAGAAATTACAGCCCTAAAAAAAGGCGAGTATACAAGTACTGAAAAATTTTCCCAATTTCTTCATCCTCTCCACAGGGAATATTCGATCAGAAAACCTCCTAAAAATCAGGGCCACGTCGAAAAGTCGTTCGTTGCCCAACCCCTCCTCACTTGCGCAACCCTGCAGTTTCGAAAAAAGCCGCAAAAAGTCATCTCTAAAAAATGAAGGAAAAAACCAAGCGGCTTCCTTCATCTTGGCCACAAAATGAGATTTCCCTCTGGAAGGCGACCGCGAATTTTCGTAGGCGAGCGTCAAGAAATCAGAACTGAGCGCTAAAACTGATCCCCAAAAAAATAAAATAAAAAATAGACAAAAACTCTCTTCACCTCATTACGGAATTATCCCGAGAAAACGACGCAAGATCCTTTACAGACCATATGCCACCAAAGATTCGCTTTTGTCGGGTTCTCCTACTGACATCATCCGTACCCGTCGTTTCTTTTGCACACTGGAACGCGAATGGTTCAGGCAAAAATTCGTCCAGCCTTCGGAATAAATTGCTCAAGACTCGTGAACCAAAGACAATACATACTTAGCCAAAGAAAAAAGGAGAGAAAATGACGGGAAATGTGCAGAAATAACTGGATATTTCACCGACTTCGTGAATCTTTCCTCAAATCATAAAAAAATATTTTGAATTATAATACAATAGTTCAGGAAAAAAAATCATCCAGCATGGCGAATAAATTGCAGAAGACCCGTGAAGTAGAAGAGAATACAAATTTAGCCCAGAAAAGTACAGAAAATGACGAAAAATGCGCAAAAATAACGGATACCACACCGACTTCGTTTGTTTCCGATGAAATCAAAAATTCAAGCAACTCTTTTCGGCATTTCCTCATTAAAGCTGTCCTTTGGAAAATGTTTCTGCGTTCAAAGTAATAGCTGCTGAAATATTGGTAACCTGACACATACAATTCAAAACCTAACCAAAGTGAACAACCCAATAATTCAATGTAACTCAAAATCTCATTCAGACAACTTGAAAACCAACGTATCAAAAAATTTAATAAACTGACAAAGCCAAAA